CCGTGGGTCAGGGACAGGGGACCAGAGAGACAGGGGCCTCGAAGGGGAGCGACCGTTGGTGGAGAACAATCCGCAGGACCCACCGAAGAAAAATCAGTATCAGGGAACCGGTTAACCGGTACCAAAGGGATTTGATCATGGCCCTTCATTGATCGACCTGGCCCCTCGTTGGTAGACCCGGGTCCCTCATCGGTAGACCCGGTCCCTCATCGGTAGACCTGGGTCCCTCATTGGTCGACTCGGTCCCTCATCGGTAGACCCGGTACCTCATCGGTCGACCTCGGCCCCTTGGGGTTCAGCCACTCCGGACCAGTTAATACAAGGATCAGACTAGTCTACGCAAGAAATCAGAGCTTCAGGCAAGGATAGATAAAAGGAGTTAAAAGGATAGGACTATATTAAATACTACTCAATTTGCGATCTACGTGGCACGACTCCGTCACCCAAGAAGAACTTTCTCTAAGTTACTCACTGTTCCGGGAAGGGATATATTTTGGCCCCTCGTCGAAGACAGTTGTGTAGCGAAGTTCAAGTGCGAATAGATCTCCAGGATATATTTGGCCTGTGAGATCGTTCGAATAGCAACACCCCCCAAGACCCGCTATCGGAAGCGGTCTCCCTCACCTCACGGTCCGGAAGCAAAGGAAAGGTCAGGTGGTTAATAACCCTGAAGCAAGAAGGAAAAGGCCAGGAAGACAAGCTCCCTGAATAATTTGCTCTAAGCCCATTCTCGACAAGGTCGATCGAGTGGCCACCTACCGGCCCACCGAGTGAAGCATATCCACTCGAGGCCCCCCAGGTCTACCTCCCTCAAGGCAGACGTCTACATTGTGGTGAAGTGCTGTTTTTGTGATGTGGAGGCCCCCAGAATCCAGTTGGATTCGGAGTATAGACCGTGGGTCAGGGACAGGGGACCAGAGAGACAGGGGCCTCGAAGGGGAGCGACCGTTGGTGGAGAACAATCCGCAGGACCCACCGAAGAAAAATCAGTATCAGGGAACCGGTTAACCGGTACCAAAGGGATTTGATCATGGCCCTTCATTGATCGACCTGGCCCCTCGTTGGTAGACCCGGGTCCCTCATCGGTAGACCCGGTCCCTCATCGGTAGACCTGGGTCCCTCATTGGTCGACTCGGTCCCTCATCGGTAGACCCGGTACCTCATCGGTCGACCTCGGCCCCTTGGGGTTCAGCCACTCCGGACCAGTTAATACAAGGATCAGACTAGTCTACGCAAGAAATCAGAGCTTCAGGCAAGGATAGATAAAAGGAGTTAAAAGGATAGGACTATATTAAATACTACTCAATTTGCGATCTACGTGGCACGACTCCGTCACCCAAGAAGAACTTTCTCTAAGTTACTCACTGTTCCGGGAAGGGATATATTTTGGCCCCTCGTCGAAGACAGTTGTGTAGCGAAGTTCAAGTGCGAATAGATCTCCAGGATATATTTGGCCTGTGAGATCGTTCGAATAGCAACACCCCCCAAGACCCGCTATCGGAAGCGGTCTCCCTCACCTCACGGTCCGGAAGCAAAGGAAAGGTCAGGTGGTTAATAACCCTGAAGCAAGAAGGAAAAGGCCAGGAAGACAAGCTCCCTGAATAATTTGCTCTAAGCCCATTCTCGACAAGGTCGATCGAGTGGCCACCTACCGGCCCACCGAGTGAAGCATATCCACTCGAGGCCCCCCAGGTCTACCTCCCTCAAGGCAGACGTCTACATTGTGGTGAAGTGCTGTTTTTGTGATGTGGAGGCCCCCAGAATCCAGTTGGATTCGGAGTATAGACCGTGGGTCAGGGACAGGGGACCAGAGAGACAGGGGCCTCGAAGGGGAGCGACCGTTGGTGGAGAACAATCCGCAGGACCCACCGAAGAAAAATCAGTATCAGGGAACCGGTTAACCGGTACCAAAGGGATTTGATCATGGCCCTTCATTGATCGACCTGGCCCCTCGTTGGTAGACCCGGGTCCCTCATCGGTAGACCCGGTCCCTCATCGGTAGACCTGGGTCCCTCATTGGTCGACTCGGTCCCTCATCGGTAGACCCGGTACCTCATCGGTCGACCTCGGCCCCTTGGGGTTCAGCCACTCCGGACCAGTTAATACAAGGATCAGACTAGTCTACGCAAGAAATCAGAGCTTCAGGCAAGGATAGATAAAAGGAGTTAAAAGGATAGGACTATATTAAATACTACTCAATTTGCGATCTACGTGGCACGACTCCGTCACCCAAGAAGAACTTTCTCTAAGTTACTCACTGTTCCGGGAAGGGATATATTTTGGCCCCTCGTCGAAGACAGTTGTGTAGCGAAGTTCAAGTGCGAATAGATCTCCAGGATATATTTGGCCTGTGAGATCGTTCGAATAGCAACACCCCCCAAGACCCGCTATCGGAAGCGGTCTCCCTCACCTCACGGTCCGGAAGCAAAGGAAAGGTCAGGTGGTTAATAACCCTGAAGCAAGAAGGAAAAGGCCAGGGACGACAAGCTCCCTGAATAATTTGCTCTAAGCCCATTCTCGACAAGGTCGATCGAGTGGCCACCTACCGGCCCACCGAGTGAAGCATATCCACTCGAGGCCCCCCAGGTCTACCTCCCTCAAGGCAGACGTCTACATCTTCACCAAGTCTTCCAAAGAGTGCAACCCGCCAGCCGACGGGTACACAAGGTGAGAGAAGGTCCATACGCGGCATCGGGGTACTTCCTCCGACAGTCGGCAGTCCGGCACAGTGAGTGGTTTAAGGTCTCATCATACAATTTTGAGAACCCACTCCACCACAATCACGTATTACGACACCGGATAAGTAGGATTGGGGACATACAGGAAGATGACCAGGAGGAGGATCTATGGGCCCGGTTGCAGGTGGCATTTGCTATGTTAAAGAACAAAATCGCCACTGCATCAATCCTCCGTCATTTCGATCCAGATCGGAAACCTGTCATCATCGTCTATGCTAGCGAGTGGGCCATCTCGGCGTCTCTGGTACAGGAGTACGAGGTGTATATATGCCAGTGACTTTCACGAGTAGTACTTTGAAGCAGATTGAGATTAACTATAGCTTAGTGGACAAGAAAATGCTAGCGTTATTGCGGATACTAGACCTTTGCTACACGTCACTGGTCACCCGTCCAATCAAGGTCCTAACTCGACATTCCACGTTAGCATGGTTGGTCCGGTCACCAGGTCTTCAGGGACGCCTTGGAAATTGGGCTGCACTCCTGTCTCAATGGACGCTAGAAGTGGTCAAGTGTAAGAGGGGCGGGATAAAATACTGGAGACATTGACAGCCAGCATAACGCCTCGCAAAAACGTGGACTCCATCCTGTCCTCGATTGCCCCTAGGAAACATCCGCGCCAAACTATCACGGTGGTTCCCCCTACGGTTGAGCCCTAGGAAAGCCTCTATGTGGTCAGTTTTGATGGGTCTGCACGAGTTAAGCGTGGAGAAGGGGCCTGCAGTGCTATTGTGTGGCAACTCCCGGGATGTACGGTGGTCGCCTCCGCTTCCCGATATTTGACTGAAGCGACAGTAAATGAGGCAGAGTATGAAGGCCTATTGTTGGGCTTCCTTCTACTGTAGAACCTGGAGCGTAGACGTCTGGTGGTATGTGGAGATTCTAACCTGGTCGTGCGACAGTGCGAGGAGAAATCGAGTGTAAGGCGCAGGGCCTGACAGTACGACGGGCGAAGGCTCTGGAAAAACTCAGGTCCTGGCCTGTTCACGAGTTTCTACACATGAAGCGCGAATGGAACCAAAGTGCAGACCGACTTGCTAACGTGGCTTTGCACCAGCAACAGGGTGTCGATATAGTTCCGGAAGAAGAGTTCCAGGACCTCGAAGCAATCAACCGTCTACCTGAGCTTTTAATACTCAAGGACCAGAACCATGCATTGCGAGTTACAGCTGTTACGAGATCCCGGGCCCTATCCAGAATACCGACGGAAGTCTTGCAAGAGGAAGTGGTGCAACGGATAAGGATCGAACGAATTGCAGCAGCCCAAGATGAAGAGATGTGGATACGTGATTTGAAGATTTACCTACGGGGCACCTGAAGTGGTTTATCGGCCGAGGTGGCATTTACGTGTGGAAAGATTGAGATGAATTACGCTTTGGATGATGACCAACTTCTTTTGTACTGCCCTTACCAGGCGTCACCGTGACGCCCAGTCCCAACTGACGTCATCCTCATTGAATGTGAATCCATCCATGGATATCACATTGATGTGCCGCATACAAATGGTAGGCCTAAGGTACCACGTACCCATCTAGACCTGCTCGTTAAGTCTTCGATACTTAACGAACCGTGTAACTTTCAGCCCGTTACAGAAAAGATAGAACATACATCGCTAACGCCAGCAGCTGGCATCGATCACGTAAGCGAAATTACCGTCGCCTATCTGAACTGCATTAAGTCAAATCACACGCCTTTAAGAAGATGATCAAGAACATTAAATGAATTCGTTCGAACATATAAGTTTCGCCGCCGACGTCACCTAGGACCTGTCATAAGCTCCACTACTAGTGGCAGCAACAAGCACAACGTCTGATCTGGCTGACCTTTTCTTACTATCGTTCAGTAAAAAACTGGACTTGTCTGGTAAGGTATTAGTGACCGTTAGCATCGGCGGCAATAGCTTTAAGTGGCACAAGGCAGCATCGCCATTAATTTTTCCTTGCGATAAAGACCACCACTAGCTTGTCGGCCAATATCTGCCTTACTTTCGTCGATTTAGTAATGAACTATTTTTTTTCTACCAGCCAGTACCTGATTATGCTATTTACCATGCACTGACTTCTTCACAGGCATACGCAAAGATTACTGCGTCGTTGCACTACTCACGGCAGCCCAGTAATCAAATTGCAGTCGTTTAAACTGAATAAGAGTGAGTTTGGAGCTGCTCATAGGGTGAACTGGTTTAGCTCAACATCGTATACTTCGCACCAAATCCTTACAATGATTAATGATCTATTTTGTCGTCATACCACCGCAAAGTAAGGCTTACATGATAAACGTGTTAGTAGTTGAACATCCACGACGCAGCAGCTCAGCAACAAGTTCAGAACGCGGCACAGTCACTTCGTCCTTTGACGCCATGTCCTTCACCTTTACGACGCCCTTGGTCAGCTCGTCCTCACCAATTACCACCATGTACGGCGTACCACGCTCCAGAGCATAGTGCAGCTGCTTAATAAACTTGGGATTCTCCGTCTGCACTACTTCAGCCGAAATGTTGGAGAGCCATAGCTGCTTGCACAGCTCCAATCGCGGCATTATCAAATTATTGCTCGTGGACGCGACCAGAACCTGTGACGGAGAGGTCGTGTTGGCAGACTTCTTCTTGGCATGGGCCTCGAGGATACCGAAAATACGTTCGATACCAAGACTGACTCCAACACAGGGGATTTGCTGTTCCGTTGCAGAGAACATACCCACGAGGTTATCGTAGCGGCCACCAGCAGCAATGGAACCAACCTTGTGCTCCGGACTCGTCAGTACAAACTCGAAAATGAGACCCGTGTAATAGTCCAATCCGCGAGCAAGACTCAGATCAAAGGAAACGAAATCAAGGACGCCCATGGCATCGAGGTAATTGAAGAGCAACGCCAAATCGTCCATAGCACGGCGTGCATTAGCATTGTCGCCAAACATTTTTTCCTTTACGAGCTGTGTGTGCAGGTCGCGCGGCGAGCCCACTTTGCACACAAATGGCTCGATACGGTCGGCCACTTCCTCGAGAATGTTCTTCTCCTGCACCATTTCACGTCGCACCTCGCTCCAAGGTTCCTTATCCAGCTTATCAATAGCACTACACGTCGTGCGGAACTTGTCAGCGGGCACGCCACAAATAGCGAGAATGGCGTCCAGGAGCAAACGGTGACTCAGTTTTACCTTCACGGGGCCAAGCTCTGGGAACTGTTGCATCACTTCGATACCAATCGACAGCACCTCGGCATCCGGGAGCATAGGCGCGTAGGTACCCGCGATATCAAAGTCGCATTGGTAAAATTCGCGGAAACGACCGCGGGCCATTTGTGGGTTGTCACGGCGATACACGCGAGCGATATGGTAGCGCTTAATGTTTCCAGGGCTGTGCAGGGCCATGAAGCGAGCGAAGGGCACCGTCAGGTCGTAACGCAGTGCCAGCAGTTCACCACCCTGGTCAGCCAGGTCGTAGATAAGCTTACTGTCCTCACCATACTTTCCCGTAAGTGTTTCCTTCAACTCAAAAACGGGAGTTTCAATCTCGACACCCGCGTGGCGCTTAAAGACCATGCGAATCTTGTTGAAGATTTTCTCGCGAAGAGCCATTTGATACGGCAGAAAGTCCTGTGAGCCCTTTGCAATTTTCGGTTTACGGCGAGTGCCACAACTGCCTAGACGCACGAAAAGGTCCTCCAAGTATACTGATAGGCTTGAAGCACGCAAGTCAAAGGCCGACTTTACCACACTACTTTGCCATCCATCTCCGAGGGCAAGGATATACTGGCGTACTGCTTGGCTACCTAGACCAATCTTCAGCTCATCCTTGCCGCATTTCTTTGCGTTCTCCTTTTCCTTCTGCTTTTCGAGTTTTTTGCGACGCTTCTCCAGAATTTTATTTTGCTGCGCTTCTGGCATCGCGGCAATCTTCTCGTCTTCTTTAGCGGCTGCAGCAGCAGCTTTAAGTGCTGCTTCTTGCACATTAGCGTTCTTCTTAGCCAGACGGAGTTTTAGCTGCGCCTCTTCTTCCTCCAAAAACTTTAACGACGGCACTAGCTCGTGCACGAGAGCAGTAGCGGTTGCTTGCACGAGATCAACAGCGAGTGTTATGTCACGTGCATCAGTAACCTTAATGTCTAGTAGTTGGAGGCGGTTGACACTGCCCTGATACAGCACGTGTAGTGCCTCCATCGTGGTCGATAGCGCCGTCTTCAGCGCCTGCGGATGAATGCTTGCACCAACACGCTTAGCAGCAGCACAATTACCAAAAGTGGCATTAATTTCGACCTCCACGGCTTTGTAGGTGACCAGAATAGCGTCACGAGCGGGGCCATGGTACTGCGGGATACAGCACACAGCAGCCACGTCCGTGACTCCTTCTTGTTGGCTATTAATAAGCTTAGATCCATCGAGCATGCTACGCAAGTTCTGCGCCGACGTGATAATGCCACGATGGGGACGAGCTGCGTCCACAAACTCAGCCTCGAAGGCTGCCGTGTCAGCATGCAGCGTCTCACACGTAATAGCAGCGACAGCGTCAGCTATTGGGAGCAGCGAACGACCACCGCCAACAGCGAGAACTGTCTCGGCTAGAAGGATGAATGGTGTGTTATTAATAGCCGTCTGCTCGGTTCGTGAGAGAGACACGGGCAACTCCAGAGAGGACACTTGGGCGGGGGATATCTGATCCTTTTGATTAAGCAACATGGCTACATATTGGGCATTTTCAAGTGAATGAAGACGTAATAAACGGTGTAAGAGCAATACAAAGACGGCACGACGTATGGACAGCGTCGATAAAGAATTAGATGAGGAGGACAACTGGAGTGTGATGGACGTAGTACTAGCTGCAGAAGTGGAAGAGATTGAATCGTCTATGATGATAGACGCATTCAATGCAGCTACAGAGCAAATGTCCACGATCGAGAGACGGCCGGCACTAATTGTCACGCGTGAAGACATCATGGACTTGAAGAGCTCTTTTCTAGAGATATTCGAATGGATCAGATCAATTGAAAAATTTTATTTACCAAATAGTTAAAAAAAGATAGCAGTATTTTCAAAAATGTAAACTTGGTAGACTGAAAAGTAGACGAAGCTGCTCAATTACTAGTGTCTTATATGCTCGTCCGTCCTTAGAACCCGGTGCTACTATAGAGTAGGTGACTACTCCTTCTCCCTTTAAATGTCGTGAAAAGTAGAAAAGCTCAGCATGCAGTGAGCATGTTGCGTAGTTCGCTGATCCATCTATTAAAGCAAATTATCTTCATCCTAACAACATTAGATCGATTACGAGATACAACACGTTGAGTTGAGATTAGCGACAGAAGTATTTACTGAGCACGAACGGATTGTGTCGGTACTAAGCGGTCTAGAGGTTGGAGCTCTACCCTCGTAAAATCTACGGCGTCCGTAGTATATATGCATACTGCAGCCCTTTTGTCAGTGCACCCCACTAGGGAGACTTTCGGGGAGGTGTCATTCGTTCCCAACGCCACGAGATATAAATGTGCCGTCCGGTGCTGTCTGTAGCCTCATTATGCCGTCATCCTGGTCCGAGATCCCCTTGTCTGTCACCAGCAAATATACGCAACTCGTATATTGTGATAGCGCCATTGATAGCGGGGGTTCAGCCATAATATGGGTAGCCGACGAGTATCTGGTGATATTTCACCATGCTTGCCCTTCCAATTGGATTGGTACGTATTTTAACGGCGACGCACCTAGTACACGGATGCACAGTCCATTATACTTGAGGATTAGGCGACCGTGGGTATCGAACCCGTGACCTCCCGGTCCCGAAGTAAGTGGTAAACCAGTACACCGCGGGGTCGGTAGCCGACGAGTAACTACGCGAAACGACTGTATCACAAAGAGGGAATATGGAGGGCTAATCCTTAGATGGCTGGCTGCCAATTTAGCTATAGCATAAGATGTGCTGCATTTACATTTAGGTATTGCTGCATTTGCATAACAATCGCCCACGATCTGCGTAGGTAGCACATAGCCAACCGATCGACATCATTTAGAAGCAGCTTCTCTGACCGTGAATAAGCTCCACGAAAAATGGAGTAGCGTCTTGTAGCATCCAAAGCGTCCAAGGCGGCATAACCCACATCTGCCGGATCTGAAAACAGGTTAACGCTGCTTTGAGGTGTATCTTTAACCGGACAGCGCAATTCAACCGACTTACTAGACAAGTCTGCTTATAGAGTTCGCAAAGCTCCACACGTTAGCACCATGCTTTTGTCCTCAGTAGCATCACGCCTCGTTTAACGAGCTGTAAGTAAAACTTTATCACGCAAATTATTTCCTGCCAAGTCTAGCTCTACGTGTGTCGAGCTTGCAATTCTGCCTCAAGCTCTGCAAGACCATCACTTTCACTGTCTAAAGCAGCCGAGCTGGATCGAGTAGATCGTCGAGAGCTGCGCATATTCACTAATGAAGCTGAGGGCTGACGAGTAAAAGGCTTTGCTGCTACCTTTTCTGGCTGCCGAGCGGCATGGGGTGCACGGGCCGCAGTTAGTACTTCCTTTGCTTGGTTTCGACTTGACCTCACCATTTGAACACGCTTCGGTGGTTTTCGAGTTGTCGCTACTCGTGCCCTGGGCTTCTTGGAATTCTTCGTGTTCACCACAAGAGAATCACTTTCAAGTTCTGCCATTAAGTCACCCAAACCATCGCTCTCTGTATCTGATCCCTGTGAGCTCAAACGAGTAGAATGTCGGAGGCCAACGGTGTCAGGCATTACCGAAGCTACTGAACGAGTTTTACCAGAACGAGATACTCTCACATTCGATGAGGCGGGTGACTGATTCTGAGCTATAGAGCGAGTATTCGATCTCTTGACTGAAGACTTCCTGCTTCGTCGTGCCCTAGTAGAGGTTTGGACGGTGGCCGGTATGTCAAGCTCTTTTACCAGTTCTGCTAGTTCATCACTTTCGGTATCTGACGGCACGGAGCTTATTCGAGAAGATTCCGGATGTGCAGTCGGACCAAAAACTCGCTGCTCACCTTTAGCCTTGGAAGATGCCTGGGTCACTGGCAATTGACGAACGGCAGTCACGCTAGGGGCGGTCACATCATCATTGAGTCGTATCTTCTTCGCGATACTTCGAGTCGTATATGTATGCTGGGCAGCCCGCTTTCGGATTGTCTTTGCTGGAGCTGGCACGAGTGATAGTGAAACTGTTCCTAATGGATTACCAGTAGCAATCGATTTTCTCTCCAGCTCTTCAACTATGTTGCTCTCAGTTTCTGATGCCATAGAACTTAATCGAGACGATCTCCGAGGTTTGTTTGCTTGAACTACAGCGATAGATGTGCGAGATCTGGTCGTTGGCTCTGCAGATAGGTCAAGTTCTGCTTGTAGATGGGCTATCAGCTCACTACTATCTGATGCGATCGATACTGCTCTCGACCTGCTTGGGCTTGTAAACAGCTGGTCGTGCTGATTTGGTCTCGTGGACCTCCGACTTGCACGATCTAAAGCCTGTCGAGCCGCTTGCTTGGCTTTTGGTGTTGCTGCTGGTAGTCGCCCTGTGCTGTTTCTCATTTTGATAGAAGACTGTTGTTTCTCGATGCCATGGGAAACACACTGATCCATCCGTGGTCCTGAAAGCGACGGAAAAACGTCTAGCTCAGCTTGTATCGCGGCGAGCTCATCATTGTCACCAGACGAAGACACAGCCGAAGAATCTGCGAACGACAGTCGACTCGCCACCGATTTACTTCTCACTCGCGTTGCTGTCGATCGGGTGCTTTTGGTGCAAGTAGGTATCACTGTGGAAGCTGTTGCACGAGCACCTTGTCTCGTGACAATGCCTGTCTTTCGGTCAAGCTTACCGCGTGCACGACTCAATGTCTGTTTAGGAATCGCATTTTCACGTACTTGAGGTTTTACAACGTCGACACTTTGCGCCAGCTCGCGCTCAAGGTCAGCGAGGGCATCACTATCTGCTTCACTGATCTCGCTAACTGTTGAAAATGATTTCTCATTGGATCCTTTTGCCAATGATTGGGCTCTAGTTGGTGCTACGTGGTCACTTGAGATGTCTGCGCACAAATTAGACTCGAGCTCAACCAGCACAGCGTCACTGTCGCCACCTTTGTGCCTTGTGTTTGACCTGCGCCGACTAGAGGTAACAGATGCTGCTATTAAATTGGGCGGTCCAGACATGGCGCTGCCCCGATCGCTCAAATCCAAGATGTTGCTGCTGTTGTCACTCAGTTCAAGAAACGTTCGGCTATCATTCTCGCAGGCAGCTGCTGCGCGCGCAACGCGATCGTATTTACGAACCTCTTCATTTGTCTTGAACTCCATGTATAAAGTCAACGCACGAGCCAGGTCTTGTCCGTTATTTCTTGTTTCTTGATGCACCGAGGCCGAAAGCAAAGGTGCTGACGCAACGGGTTTGGCTCGACGCAAACCTAATTTAGCACCAGCACCGGATACCGAGGGTCCAGCTCGAGCTCGGCTCATTAATTCTTGGTATCGATCGTTGAGCGTCTTTAGTTGCTCCAGTTTGCTTTTGTAAATCTGTCTAGACAAATTACAAGTCAAATAATTACACGATGTCGACAATAGTAGAAAGAGTGGGCACTTACTGGCGCATTTCCCTCCAGCGCATTGTCTGCAACAACCGATAACTCGTGACGAGCAACAATTCCTGATCTCAATGTGTGCTTCTTCACGCGAACTGTCGGTCCAAATCCCTGCAAGCATCGAAGAAAGGCATTCTCTTGACCCACAAGCCGATGCATCATCGCTCTCACCTCACGTGCTGCTCTTGGAAACAGCCTAGCTCCCGTTCCAGTCATGACGCAATTAATTGTTAACAGCGCCGATCCAGCCTGTGGATCCACATCAATCTTGTGCTTGGGCGAGCCAACTTGGACCGAGTATGCGCAATACATTGCAAACACACGGCCAATCAGTGCCGCAATATCTACAGCATTGACAAAATCTCCACCATGTTCTTCAATACACAAGACAAGTCCATCTAATGTTTGTTGTAGTATTGTCTTGTGTATCTTGGTCGGTGTGCTCTCCCAAAACTCCACGAGAAAAGTGGTACTCATTTTTGCTTCTTTCCATAGTCGTTTCCACGCAATAAAAGTCACATCGTTCTACAATACCAAAAGAACATGTTAATACTACAAATGTCAATAAAGTCAATTTTTATGTATAAAGAATATACAAAGAGTGAATTAGGCAAGAGTTACACGTCGGACCTCATGGAGGAAACGAGTATGGAGGTCATTTAGCTCGTCGCTTATTATCACTGCAAAGTGCTGTAGTGCATGCTCCCAGTCCACGGTGTTTTGTTTATGTTGTTTGGATGTGTGATTGATAGTACGCGATAAATCCGGTAGAGGAGGTCGATGACTAGATTCATTCAATACCATGTGCATGTGCAGAGAGGTTTTGTATGAAATGTGAACTGTGTCCCGATACAAATGTCTTTTTTAATAAATTAAACAGGTCAAAACGAGACAGATATCGCTGTCCGTTTTTCTACTGACAGATGTATGAAAGCCTTATAGCAGCGATACCTTGCTGTGCTCATGAGCTGATACTGTCATGTGTATTGATATCATCACGAGGAATCTCGCAGCTTTACTATTTAAAGACATGACCCTTTTCAACATGTTAACGCGGTTCGAACTCGTGAGTGATAACTACTTTGTGTCTGAGTATGCTGATTCTCTGCCTTCTCGACCCTACACAATTAATCCAGGTCCATCTTTTCGGCCTCGTCCTTCTCGTCAGCAGGTGTGGCTTCAGTTGGCTCAGAAGTGATAGGCGTCTCCACCTTCGGTTGCGGTTTCGGCTTGGTTGTGATCGGAAGAGCCACCACGCGCACGGCCGCGATCTTGCTACGGATGGAAACCGACGTGAGCACCGGAGCTTTCGTCGAATCCAGCTCCGCCTGCTTCGTAAGGCCGTCGAATAACCACGCTTCGGCATCAACGCATGTCTGGCGGAGCTTCGTCTTCTCATCCTCGGTCCAGTGCGAGTACGCGTCGTCACCCGAGTTGACCATGCGCTTGTACTCCTCCAGCAAAGTCGTTAGCTCAGCCTGAGCAACGGCACGTTCCGTGCTCTCCGTTAGACGAAACTCCACTGGCGAGGTTAGCTTGCGCAAATCATCCAGCTTTTGCTGGTACACTGACTTAGTGCTGTCGAAGCCTTCGTCCGTGTAAAGCCAGTCCTCCGTCTCCACCAGCTTTGTTTCAAGGTTGCTCTTTTCATCACTAGTGATGAAGCTAGCCAGCTTGTCTGTAATCTGGTTGCGCATCTCGTACACGAAGCTTTCCAGCTCGTTGCGCTTGTTGAACGTTTCTTCAATCACACGGTCCTGCTGCGCCATCTTCAGCTCCTGCTCAGTGGCAGAGAACACGTCAGCAGCCGACAAACCACTAATTTGCGAGTCCACGGTAAGCTCGATCTTGCGGAAACGCTTCTTCTTGGGCTCAGCGGGCTTGTCTTCCTTCTTGTCCTCGCCCTCCTTTTTCTCGTCGTTCTCAGCCTCAACACACTTCTCTTCCTTAATTTCCTGCATCAGCTGCGAAGACGCCACCGAGAACAGACCGTTCATGTCTTGCTGCACGTTTACGCGGATCTTGGCGATCTCGGCTCCAGCCTCCTGGGCAGGCATACCCGAGATCGTGTACTTGCCGATGTCCATCACATAGTCAGGTGGCAGGAAGGGCTTGGCTGACTCATCGTAAAGCGCATCGATAGAGAACGGCTTGTCGCGGCGGAATGTTATGCGTTTTGTCTTTGGGTATTCGTCCTTGCGAGTAAAGATCACCAGTGCGCTGTCGTCTGAAGCGGGGACCTCCATGTTTACGTCCTCATCGTCGTCAGCGGTGTCCGTAGCAGCTAAGGCGCTGCCGTCCCACGACACACGCACGGGGAAGTGCACACGATCCGTGACGCTGAACTCCTTCACTTTAAACATGGGCGATAGGATAGCACAGTTTAGGGCACAACCGCGGGCCACTGACTCGTCAGCGTTCAAAGTCGTACTGAGACCATAATTCTGCTGTTCCTTGTCCAGACCCAAAACCTCGGCAATGTGGCGCTTTACACTGGTCACACGGGTGCCACCACCGACAATCTCTACATTCGTTAGCTGCGACTTCTCTACACCGGCGTCAGCAAGAGCGCGCTCAAGGGGTCCATCCAGACGCTCCAAAAGCGGAGCAATAAGTCCCTCAAACTCCTCAAGCGTCACCTGCGCATTGTAGTCACGGTCATCCGCGAGACACTCAATGTTAAGGTGCGTAGCCGAGACGCCATACGGACTAAGGTTTTTCTTGGCCTTCTCGCAAGCCGAAAGCAATTTAATGCGTGACTTGGGGTTGTCAAGCGGGTTTGTCTTGTATTTTTCAGCAAACTTGGCAGCTGCGTCCTTGGCAATGACCAAATCAAAGTCACGTCCACCGAGAAAACGGTCAAAAGCGACCGATTTAACTGTGAGACGGCCTTGTACAAAGGCGACAATTGAGACCGTGTAGCTCGCGTGGCCCAAATCAATAAACATGACGTGCTGAGGATCTGTCTCGTGAAAGAGGTTACGAGCCGATTTGTAGATGCCATAGGCTAGGGCAATGGCCGTATGCTCATTAATGAGACGCAGGCAGTTGAGACCCGCGATTTTCGTGGCATTAAGCAGAGCACGACGTTGCACGTCAGTGTAGTAGCCAGGGCATGAGAGTACACAGTAAGCGGGGTTTACACCCTCATTAGCAGCAGCTGCAATGCTCTGCATCTTGTTGAGAATCATAGCAACAACTTGTTCACACGAAAATGTCACGGGCTCGTCGTTGTAATTGAGTACAATTCCCACGTCACCACTTGCAAGCTCGATACATTGATACGCAAGCTGTGCAATCTCCTGCTGGACCTCTGGGTGATTAAATTTACACCCAATTAAACGTTTAATGTCCGTAGCCGTATTCTTATAGTGCATACGTGCCATACTAATGGCTGCCTCACCAATGAAGCGCTGTTTGCCTTGGACACAGACCATATTCGGATTTTTACGATTCGAATTTTCATTCAAGATAATGTCAATGCCACCACGTTTCGCCTGACCAATGACACAGTCAACGTTACCAAAGTCCACACCGATAACGGACATGGTTTGAGTTTTAATACGGTTAAAGAGTTTGAGAAAAGGGAAGGAGGGGGTTTAAGTGCCAAAACGAAAGTGACTTGGTAGGAGGGAGGGAGGTTCATTCTAGAAACGGATCTAATGAGAAACCTGTATTATCATATATACTTGTGACAATGCATGTATGCTCTGACTTTGTACAAGCTCAAATTTCCTCTAGGAATGAGTATCATTGCAAGATCTAAACATCTTAAAAGATACGTTTGATGAAATTTGACTGGCAGCCAGTCACTCAACCTGTGCGAAATTGCGACTTTTAAGGAAATAAATGTGCAGCTCGTTCGTTGATTGAGAACTGAAGTATCTGCCATTATCATGCGTATAGGTCTATAGCGTTGGAAACACCTCCTTTTCTGGTTTCGAGTTGCTACAACAGTGGATGCAGTAACTTGCATCCACGTGTCAAGAAAGTTCTCGAATTGTCTCTGAATCGGATTAATTATTAGACACGATGACGTCGCTCATCGACGCGTTGTGCACACAAGACAGGGCAGTGGTCTTCTTGTGGGTGTGAGCTGGCTTTAACCTACCCCACACGTTGCCTCAGAAGACACTGCCTTTGCCTCTTCAACATCGTTCGTGTGCATAGATCCTAAGGCTGCTCCTATAGCTGAATTAATCTAAGCTTGTAGTAGCACTTTTTCACGGGCTGTTGCTCTGCTGGCAGAGGCTTCTGCAGCGCTTGCCTTTTATACTCGCTGCTTTGTTTGCTCGGTGATAAACGCCCTGTTTACGCTGACCTTCACCACTGCGTACGCACGCTAAAAGACACATTGATACTATGAGAATGTCATCTCTTGTGCTTCAAACAACTACACGAGCTGGATTATAAGCACAAGAAGATAGTGATGCGGCCATCGGCACATTCATTTCTGTGTAACGTGCTGCCTGTTCAAGAGACAGCCAGTCGATCTTGCTATTCTTGCTGTGGCTAATATCGCACCGAATGAGTGAACTTCTCATCCTTTTGATGTGACAAGCATATTCGAAAGTACAGATCCGTCGTGATCCGACACGTGTGCAAGCTCATAATCAAGCGGCGTAACAATATGTCGGCACGACATTGTGCGAAAAATGACCGTCCTTAACGACAGGTGGTATTGTGTAATTAACCTGGGACGTCCCTGTCATACAAGTTTACGGTGTTTATTTACGTCCTACGTATAATTAGTGTAAAGACAAGTAATAGAGCTGTATTAATTACCTTACCCAAGCTTCCTCCTTATTAGCGATATCATTAATAAGGAATAATTGCAATCGATGTGACGTGCCCCTTCTGGTAAGATTTACAAGTAATGGGATCTGTCACGTTCTGTACATGTAGAAGCACAGCGATCGATATGCTCGTGTTTTGCTCATAGACGGATCGCAGCTCTGACCTACCGCTTAACGTCAGTAGTAGCGAAGAAGAGGGCGAAAAGATGGAAGACAGAATACTGCTAAACCGTCCTATTCGCCAAAAGAGCGTCCTTGAAATGGGAACGTATGTGCTGGGAGTGCTACACGAGCCCTAAAGTCAATCGATAAAGAAAAGGACACGTTGTCAACTATACAGAATTCTACGTGAACCGCCGTGTTGCTTCAGGCGCTTAGCTTTTTCCGCCTCAGTACGCTATCGAAAGTGACTAGTTGATCGAGCCAACCCGTCGATACATGCGCGTCGATGTTACTTGAAGGTGCTCAATTTCGTATCTCCAACCATTGCATAAATATCGTTGTATATAGACATATTTTTCTTAAGTTACTAATACTTTGACTTTGTCTAACTTCTTAAAAAAAGGAATATATACTGTATTTATTTTATTAAGTACGAAATGAAAAGCTCCATTCATCTATCTATAGATTCGAGACATCATGACGAGGTATGCCGTGTCTGTATGAGTCGATCCTGTCTTTATATTACGCGTTAGGAACAGTGACCTACGACTAACTTGCTGATAAATTAACTTTTGATTGTAATTGTGCTTGTATCGCATTCAATATTTATTTCTGTAGCATCGGAAAGACGAGTGAGTTCAAGCGCGTGCAAGAAGACGAAGAGGAGTTTCAAAAGGGGCCACTGTCTGTGCTCATGCACAGCGTTAAAAATAATTCGCAGGTGCTTATTAATGTTCGCAATAACCACAAGTTATTGGCTCGCGTTAAGGCATTCGACCGTCATTGTAACATGGTGCTGGAGAACGTAAAGGAGATGTGGACGGAGGTGCCCAAGTCAGGCAAGGGCAAGAAAGCAGCCAAACCTGTCAACAAGGACCGGTTTGTCAGCAAAATGTTTTTGCGTGGGGATTCAGTTATTCTCGTGCTGCGAAACCCGCACGCTTAGGACGGCGTTAATTGCAGCTGAATTGCTTGGAATAGACGTCAATCTGCCACACCTTTTATCTGCCGTGAAGACTTCAAAGCTCACTATAGATTAACATTTGCCTTGTTACAGCTCTTGGTTTCAAGTTTCGATTCACAAGTGTCGACAAAGATGTCACTGTAAGAGCTGATGATGAGTAATGTTCAAAAGTATCTGCCATCTCACAGCTCAATTTTGGATTGCATCATGATTTCACGGATTGTCCCAAGCCTTGGCGGTACTTTGGCTGCACAACTACCGCCGGTCATTACCTACTACATGTAAAAGAAGCGGAGACATCAGTGACGAGGCTGTGAATCAATACTACTGCAATTTCATAAAGCTCAGATGAAACAGGAGATTGTGCTCATCCAAGAAGTATGACGAATCCCGTCCAGGCTTAGATGATTTCTATCTTTTCCGTGCGGATTGTTGTCACTAGAGCGATGCGCTGAGTAGCATTGTAGTAAGGCTTATTACGTGACGCTGAGGTGCAGCCTCAAATGTTCTGATTAGAAAAAATCACGGGAAGGAACGATCTCATAACGCAAAAGCATCACTTCATTTTATTCAATTCTGTACGCCGTACTCTCTCCAACTTCCGCGCAAGCTTCTTACCGCCATCGCCGAGTGATGCGCACATATACTGTCTTCCGCACATCGTCCTGCAAGTCCGGGTATCGGACTTTACTCGTGCGTATCGTATACGGAGGCGCGCGTGGCGAAATAATTCGTAGTTCGCGTTCCTCCGTATACTTTATGCTTCAGTGATCAAGCCGTCCTCATGTGTGAAAATAGGACGACACAAAAGCAACGCTATTGCTTCGATCACCGCGGAGTTTACCATTTTAACCTTGGACTCACACCACCGACGATGGCGTAAGGAGAGATTCGGGTTGCTGCAGCACTTGCTTCTTCGGCGAGGTCGATAGGTCAATTTCTCTCTCTGACTCGTGTGCATCTGCGAGTGCATCCTCGCCATCACTGCCACTGCTACTGCTGCTTGTCCTATTTGGTGCGTCATGGTCGGTGGCTTCACTCTCATCGACCATGGCCGTGGCGTCTGTTACTGATACATTGTGAATGGGGGCGCTTCCAATATCATTAACAGATGGTTCTGCTCCTGCTGATCCTTCTGGTTCTGCCGATACCTCGACAGTGCGAGCAGGCGTCTGCACGATCTCGATGGCAAATTCTGCTTGGGAACTTCGTTCGTCCACAAAGGCCAACACTGATTCTTCTTCCATAGTTTCGACGAATACATTTGGCATCGGAGGTGACACAGCATTCTGCAACCCCGTTGCATTCGTTAGACTTAACGATACTTCCGGTGTTGCAGAAGTATCTAGAGTTTCAGAAGCCCTGGATTCATGACCAGGAGTCACATTTGGACCCAGTAATACAACTGAAGACGACCGCGCGTTAGCTGGAGATTGCCGAACAGAAACAGGCTCTTTTACAGCTGAAATATTCTGTACTGGGACTGGCAGGCTCGCCGACGCCATGAGAGAAACCGGCGCGGGCGGCATGGCCTCCGATGTAGCATTAGCAGCATCAGATGCAATAGCTGGAGAAGAGGCCGAGCCCGGTGCTTTTGGTCTCCTTGTACTTGAAGTCGAGTCAGCTCTAGAAAGGCTATGTGATCGACTCGAGGCATCGCTCACTGCAGCAGAGGCAACTGAAAGTACCGGATCAGAGATACGAGCATCCGGGTGGAATGTACACACGTCCTCAAAAATGAGTTCCTGCAGCTTCTGCTTGGTCAAGTCGGCATTCTCGAATGCAAAATCAAATGACGAAGGGCATGTCTTTTCCACAGATCGATCGCGCACCAAGCTTAAGTAAGGGTGTGCGAGGGCTTCCTGGATCGTAATACGCTTACGTGGATCAAATACCAGCATCTTCTCAAGCAAATCGAGGCATTGTGGAGTTGCACGCGGATACACGGACGAGAGCGGCACCTTCGGCTTTTTAGGCTGACGCAAAATGAATCGCTTTGCTTTTGGGTTAGTAATGAAATCCAACGAGTTCTCTGACGGTGAGCCAACAACGTCCATAATAATCTTCAGCTGGTGCAAATAGTCATGGCCAGGGAAAAGAGGCCGCCGACCAAGCATCTCAGCCAGAATACATCCAATGGCCCACACATCCATTTGCTTGTCATACTTCGACGAAAGCAGCAATTCTGGAGCGCGGTACCAGCGAGTGACGACGTACTCGGTGAGACCTGAGTCCATACCCTGAATGCCACGAGCGAGGCCGAAATCACACAGCTTCAGGTCGCAATCTGAATTGACCAAAATGTTGGATGGCTTCAAATCGCGGTGGAGCACCTCAGCAGAATGCACGTAGTTGATAGCAACCAGCATCTGATACAAGAAGTACTGCACGTGGTCGTCACTGATCGATTGGTTCGAGTGAATGACACGATGCAGGTCAGTTTCCATGAGATCTGTCACAATGTAAACGTCATTGAACTCTTGCAGAGTCGGTGGACGAAGCAGGTCAAGCAAATTCACCAAGTTTGGGTGGTTCAGATGGCGCATGAGGCGAATCTCCCGAAGAATGCGCTTTGCGTCGATGAGATCGTTGAAAGCATTCGGAATATTCTTTATGGCGAGTGCTTGGCCCGTTTCCGTGTCACTAGCAGCAATCACACAGCCATATGCGCCTTGGCCCACAGCTTTGATCATTTGATAGCGCTTCGGAACGTCGAAGTTTGTATTGCCCACCCGAAATTGGTGATTATCCCGTTTTGTATCGCGAAAAGAGCAACCGCGGGCTAACGCAACACGGTGGCTCATCGATTGCACCATTGCTCCTGACGGATAAACCTGCGGTGTTGGCGCATTCGAATCCAAACCAGGCGAGTCCCCATCAATGCCATTTCGCGGTGCAACTGCAAGATTAGAGCGCGACATCGCAGCGAAGGAAGCCGTGGAGGCTTCGAAACTTATGCTGAGCTGTACTCGCCCACAAGTAAACTTTGTCTCGCTTGCAGACAACAAGGTGTACCACTGCGGCACGGCGCCACGAGCAATATCCGAGTGAATAACACTCTCTCGGACCGTTCGCGATGAACTGGCCAGCGCCAGAAACGGCGCAAGGTTGACCTTGGCAACACCAACTACACGTTCCGAGGCTTCCCCAGATCCATTGCTGTCCATGACTTCCCAAGCTTCAATCAGAATGAAGCAAGGCTTACCCCTCAATGATCCAGCAAACGGAATATCGTGCTTGGAATTCCACTTGGGATCCCGTGATTCCTCCGGGTCGCATGTCCGTGTCCGTGCCACGCAGTTCGAGGACGAGGTCGGTGCATACACATTATTCTTGCCATCTGTCACCAAACGCAACCCCAAAAACACACGGCGGTTCGATGGTTGCTTCTCGTCATCAGCCTCCAATCCATCTATCTGCTCTATATCGTCGATGAAACCCTGGTCCGAAATCTGCTCGCCGCGGAACACAACGACGTGAAATTTTCCTGCGGGATTGTCGTGGACCGTGTTGCCAACAACTGCAGCCATAGGCAACGACAAACTAGACGTAGCGCTGCAGCCAAAAACCGCTGAGGCAGCAATCGGATCTGCCGAGATGGTCAAATTCTTGACCCGTCCGTCGGGTGCAAACTCAATCGTGTGCTGCCACTGCTGCGTGAACTTGCGCCCATTGTCTCTGTTCTTCATGGTTTCCCGTCCAGCCACTACAGCAGTAGACCCTTCTTTGGCTTGAGCAATATCGGTCACGAAAAAGGCTGTAATCTCCACCGTCTCGTACAAGATGGAAAAAAAGTGCAGTACACCATCAAGTCCATGATATTCGCCCCAGAAAGGCACGGTAGGTGCGTAATTAGACGTAAGTACAACGTCTCGTGAGAGTTTCGGGAAAAACTGTGGTGACGACGAGTGTGAGATGAGCAGTTGGCGAAAAGCAAAATAAAAACCTCGAAGGTCTACTTGAGTCGGAGATGTCTGCATCTGCAATGCCTCAATCCCTTCGATCGAAAGACTATTATGAGCATCATGTCGTACTCCTTCTTCAATAGCAGCTTGCATCATTTCAACCCACATGTCTTTTTCTAGCTCGGTCGAACAGCATAAATGAAAATATTTATGACCCTGAGTCTCCAAGAGAAAGCCATGGGCTTTGCCGTAATTTTCCGGTCGAACTTTATTAATGATCATACGACCCCGTAAATTACGTGCACTTCGAGCTTCTTCCTTTGAATTGTAATAAGTGAGTGTAGCCCCATCTAAAATCAAATATCGTTCTTCCCAGCGTGGTAACCAGTCTCCTTTCTTACGTACATAACCTTCCCAATGTACTTCATGTGTGATAGGAGTAGACGTTGATATTGATGATGAATTTCGTAGTAAATCATCCATATTATTCTTGTTTGTTGTATTATTTATCACGTTGTTGCTACCGTTTGAGAAAGCACCAAGTAGTAAGTCACGTCCTTGGGTTGGAAGCTCTGTCGTAGTCACGAAAGTAGACAATTCCATTCGACAAGAATGATTGTCTTTCGTCAAGTTCGACGTGATCGTTCCCTTTTACTGGCTTTTACGGACAGACTGAATTGATATTTTCTTATAAATAGATTACGACGGGACAATTCCGAAATGTTAACTAGATTTCACTATGGAAATTTAATAACACAAGATTCAATAAACGTGCGTGCACTGTTGTCTCGTTTCTGGCTTTAATTCGACTCTTTTTCTAGTCTCGATTGTGAAAGTACGACAAAAAAGTGTTTCAGTAGACAACCAAACAAACGTAAAGAAATGACAAATGAGTGTGACGATAGATAGAATGTCTAAACGCAATTAGATCGCCTTTGTCCATAATAAAAAAAACCTATGTGCAAAGTTTGTTTAACCTTGAAAGCTACTGTAGGCAAAAGCTACTAGAAATCCCGTGTTAAGTTATTGTTGAACGAGTCATTTAGACTTTAAAAGCAATACATTGACTTCTTTAGATACAAACTTCCAGTGAACAGGTATTTTACAGCAATACGATATTTATAAAGTGACGCTGTCATTTGTTACACCATAAGGTCTTAAGCCCAAAGATGCAAAAGCATACCAAATTTGCTGAGTGTGCATGTGTCATAATACAATTCCCCTGTCTTCCCGAGTCGCATGAAGCTATGGGTTGTAAATGAAGTCTCGCAGGTACTGCATTATGTTCTCCGGCTTTGATATAGTAGAAAAGCCTTGCTGGAAACCCTAGGGCATGCGTTAACATGAATAGAGACAGCATAATGTCAGTCCTCTTAACTATCGATGCAGCAGAAATATGTTTGCTATAAAAGTAGGATAGAGTGACCGTACATATTCCGCGACAGCTTCCGCAATCTTTAGCGATACATCCCGGATGCTGGATATCGGCGGGTAGACACAACGAGTCTCTAAGTCAGCGGGAGTGGTTAGACTGGCTAAGGTTTTGGCAGCAATGATCATAATCTCATCGTCCACGTGAGTCAGGCGAGAGGCGACGACGCCCAAACCAACACCTGGAAAAATGTAGGAGTTGTTACCTTGGCCAGGAACGTAAAGCTTACCGTTGATCTCTACGGGGTCGAACGGACTACCACTGGCAAAAATACACTTGCCATTCGTGAATGTGTAAGCCTCTTTCGCTGTGCATTCGGCCTTGGACGTAGGATTGCTCAGCGCGAAGATAATTGGGTGCTCGTTTAACTCACTCATCTTCTCACAGACCTCTTTGTTGAAAGCCTTGGTGATTGTGCACACACCATAAGGGCTGTGGGCTGTATACGGTCGAGAGCCTCAACAAGATTTCCGCACTCCGGGGCATCATGCGCGTACGGCAGCTTGTGTGGCTGAAGTGAATTCGTTCGAGATTTGACAATCAGGCCACGAGAGTCCACCAACCATATCTGCTTGCGGGATTCTTCCACTTTCTTGCCGGTCTCACGAGAAATGGCCAGAGAGATAAGGTCGGCAATTCCCGTACCAGCAGTGCCAGCGCCCAGGAAGACGAACTTTTGCTTTGAGATCGGTTTGCCTGTTATCGGAACGGCAGCAAGCAGACCGGCAAGAACCACTGAGGCCGTACCTTGGATGTCGTCATTGAACGTGCAGTGAGAGTTCTGGTACTTGCGTAGTAGATTGAAGGCGGTCGAGTTGCCAAAGTCTTCGAACTGCAATAGCACGCTGGTGCCGTATTTGGCCTTCGCGGCATCCATGAACTCCTCCACAAGCTTCTCAAACAGCTCACCGCGCACACGCTTCTGGCGCAGACCAATGTAAAAGGGGTCGACCAGGCACTCCTCATTGTTCGTACCACAGTCAAGTACAACAGGCAGACACATCTGGGGCGGCACACCGGCGCACACCGTGTACAGCGCCAGTTTGCCAACAGGAATACCCATGCCATTAGCGCCTTGGTCGCCCAGACCAAGAATGCGCTCGCCGTCCGTGAAACAAATGGCGCGAATGTCCTTCTCCGGCCAGTTGTCCAGGATCTCGGCTACGTGACCGATGTCGTTGATGGAGATGTACAACCCTCGAGGTGTCTGATGATATATATGGCTGAACTCCTGGCAAGCTTGACCGACTGTGGGCGTGTACACTATCGGCAGGAGCTCGACAATATTCTCCGTAAGCATTCGGTAGTACACATCCTCGTTGGTGTCCTGCATGTTTTGCAAAAATATGTATTTTTCAAGAGGCGTGCTTTTGTGACGCAACTGCTTCATAGCACGCTCCGTCTCGATCTCGATAGAGGTGACCGCAACGGGCAAAAGTCCGTGGAGCTTGAACGCCGCTCGCTCTTCCTTGGTGAAGGCTTGTCCCTTATTGGTGGTGGGTGTGCGCATGATGGCGAAGCCAGGCTGCGACTGGATCGAACAACACAACATCATCAACTTTTATAATAACGGGCGTATCTCGTATGACGCACCATGGCATGATCTTGAACGTTTTTATCTGGGATAACGGTAGAAAAGGAACCCGCTTGACGCTTGTTAGCGAGTGTTGTAGAAGGTGTCTTGGACGCGATGTAAGAGATCGCAGCGCGGACTGCAACTGATTGGTTCTGCCGTAAAATCACGTTGCGAATGGTGAAGAGCATCTGACTTGAGCGGCTTAAATCGAATCAAAGACTGAGCTTTTGGATATAAGCAACTTGTTGGTCAGTGCAACGTGAGAACTACCGAAACAAACGTCAAGACGGCTATCAGCTTTGAATTTGACGAGATCGACGTATAAGACCAATCTTTGCAAAGCGCGCGCCAATCATCGAAAGTGCAGCAACGATTCTGCTTGGTGGCTCTGCCCCCTGTCGCTTCTGCGCGATGTTTGCTGACAGGTTCTCGAACGCGGCCATCCTACAGCGATACACTAGTACAGCGAGATACATAAGATTTATTATCTTGATACTAATTCGAAGTCTTCGTGCACACGTTTCGGAAATATTTTTGCAAACCGGACTCATTACGTTTCTTGCATTTGCAACAAAACGTAACACACCCATCAAGTTACGAATATCAATATCAAGGGTTAAATTTGCAAAGCACCGGAAAAATTGTGCCCCTGCGTATGTAATTGATGCTAAAGTCGACGGTGCGTTGACAAAATGTCATGTTAGAAGCTGAGCGTTGGGGATTTGGACTAACGTTTTGGTGTCAGGAAAGGACATGTGCAATTGCGATTAGCGCCAGTCTTTATTTCCATCAAGCATAGTAAGCAGGTAAATTGCGTCGCAATCAGTCATTTGGGCTGGGTATATGCAGACAGCACTAGGAGACAGAGTAGCTAGAATGCAGAATTTAATTATCTTCTACATCGCAGCATTTATTTATAGGTGATTAAGGTACTTAAAGAACTTAATGGTAAAATTTAAAGTGATTACACTCACTAGCCCGCCGTCGCGAGGGCGGCTACGTGAGTGGTGGCTTGCCACCAATGCTACCTCCATCTGAGTTGATGAACTCGGATGGGTCTAGTGCAGCGCTTTTGCAGCGTGCAACTATTGACGCTCATAAATTTTATAGCGTCTTTCCTTTGTGGAAAAAGCAGGGCAAAGCAGTTGGTCGTGCTTTCCCAATTCCAGTCGTACTGCGTTCTATCGAAACAGCCGTCGAATATGAAGCTGAACTCCGGCGCCGTGTTACCTTGCATGTAGATGCAACGAAACAGCGGTCGCAGCGAATCAGCTTCGCCATGAAGCGTGCACATGAAATTTTGGGCGGTAAGCAACCCCCAATTGATTCTCGCTACGCTTCTTCTGTTAGTCCATCCGGACCTAGCAGAACGACGACAGCTGGTGCTGCTTCACATAAGCAGCCACCAGCCGAGGCACGTCGACGCGCAAAGCGTCCACAGGCTCCAACGAGTCAAAGCTCGTTGGGTAACCCTTCCACTGGACAAAGATTTGGAGCTTTCGCTTCACAAACCGGTGGGCCAACAGCCTTTCAACAAGGAAGCGCGTATTCCCTTCAGTGTCCACCAACACAGGTGGCGCCCGATAGGAGTGGCGATTACGCCCACCTACTCGCGGCTGCCTACCCTGCTGCTGTTCAGTCGCAGGCTGAGTCCGCTGCTCAGAAGAGGCAGGTGACAGATCTCGAGAGTTAAGTCTCGCGACTGACCTCGGATCTGCGCGATGTGAGGGCGAGGGACTGTCAGGGGTATGAACGCCTGAAGACCCGTTTGGACATACACGAGCGACTGGTGATGAGAGACCCGCGACAAACGCGGAGTCCTCCTCAATCATCGAGTCCTTTTTCGCCTCGTTCGTATACGGGGAGCCTATCGGCTTCCTCGTCGCCAGATCGGCCGCGACGCTCGACTCACAGTCGACGTCACCATCGGTCTCGTTAGACCGATATGGATATGTGGTCTCTTCTGGATAAACATACCGTTTCAGACGACCCACGTAAAATACGGGATGCGTCTTCATATACGGTGGGAGAGTGAGCCTATAATTTAGGTCTTCAACCTCCTCGACCACCGTAAAGGGCCCAATAAATCGGAGCAATAGCTTAGTAGTACCACCAGGTAGTACAGAAATTGCATGTTTAGGTAGGGTAGCAGTACTTAATAGCACTTTGTCCCCCACACTAAAGTGTTCATTGTTTTTGCGACCATGCTGGTCTGCATATTGTTTTTGCTTGTCCTGTGTGCTTGCCATCGAGTCACGGACTTTACGTGTGATGGCTAATCGCTCATCCACAAAGCGCTGAGCTTCGCTCACGCTTTTAGCATCCAGCTCGCCTATGAGGTTTGTTCATGGGTCGACGCTGTTGATAACACTATAGTGTCATCGGCAAGGAGCACTGGCATTTCTTGCCGTGCCTCCTCTGTGACGCCTATAGGTGTCGTGACCACTGCTAAATGAGCAGTGTCACTAGGGCAACCTTGGTCCTCTTTGGCATTCGCACCGAGCGAAGTGATGGGGCCATCCCCCACTAAGACTCGGGCTGCGTACAAACGAGACTGGCGTTCGAGGATGACGCAGTCCGTTAATGTAAAACGGTGTTTCACCCGTACTGGCGTGAACACTATTATTAATAGCGAACTCCACGAATGGCAATTGCTTGCTCCATTCTTTGGGAGTCGCTATTGTACGCAACACATCCGCCACGACTCGATTGGCCCGTTCTGTTTGGCCATCGGTCTGGGGATGATCAGCGGTTGACATGTGGAGCTTGCTACCCAGCAGCTCAAACACATGTCGCCAAAAACCCGACGTAAAACGCGGATCCAGGTCCGATACTATGGACTCGGGCATCCCGTGTAGTCGATACACGTGATCCAGGAACAAGAGGGCAGCCTCTTTTCCTGAGATCTTGGTGCTACATGGTGCCAAATGCACCATCTTGCTCAGTCTGTCTACAAAGACGACGAGCCCCGTCCTGTCTTTATGGTCAGGCGGTAAGCCAAACATGAAGTCCAAACTGACCGACTTCCAACATTCAGTTGGAATCGGCAGTGGCTTCAGTGGCGCACCGTTCGAAGGTGCAGGCTTTATGCGCTGACACTCTTCGCAAGAGCGAATATAGTTGGCCACCCACCGATATAGGTGGGGCCACCAAAATTCCTCTGACACTCGTAAGAATGCCTTTTCACGGCCCAGATGCCCACTAGATGGCGCATCATGGCACTCGGGAAGTATCATCAGCTTGAGATCTGTGTCATGAGGGACATAGATTCTCAAGGGGATCACAGGGTGACAGTTGATGCCATAACAGGCCATCACTGTAACTAAAGCGATTTAGTTTCGCTTTGAGGTGCGACGGAAGGGTAACCTTTCGTCCACCAAAATGATCCAACAGCAGGCGACAATGTTCGTCCTGACTGTAACACTCCTTGATATCGGAGGCCATTGAGCTCGTCACATGGTAGGCCTTCATGGCTGCCAGTGTTGACGACTCAACTTGAGCTTTCGCACGAGACTGTAATGGGCTACATTACACATATAGCATTAACACAAATAAACAATTACATATGTAGGCAGGTGCTGGGCCCGAATAGCGGGCACAGCGTGGTAATTTATTATTGGTTTATTATTGGGCCTAAAGTCCCCAATATGGACCAATGATAAATCAACCTGAAATTGTGTGGTTCCCGAAAGGCGGGAACACTGTCGTATTTATTACGACTAAAATCTTCGTAATTAGTACGAATTAAAACCAAAATAAAAATCAGAGTTAAATTTACTTAATACCTAATACTCGGGCTTGAGTCTTCCTCAAGCGCACGTGTAAGCTAGTGACGGTACGTTCTAGCCCCGTTACACCTGGTAGCACTTTGTAGTCCTTCCTATGCCCGAGTTTGGGATGAGCGAATCGTCGTACTTTGACGCTCCAGATTTATTTCTGGAGCACGCGACCTTCCCCCATCTTACTGGTGTTGAGTGGGATGCCCTTAATCGCCTCGCGGCGATATCGGGAGAGGCATTCGTCGCGTCGCTGATGAGATCAGCGACCCCTGACGCGCAACGTCTCGCCATACATGAGTTTATGGCACGCGAGCTCGCCGAATCCAACCGGCGAGGCTTAACTCCCTCGCGCCCTTCACGTAATGAGGCCGTGAAGATGGAAACCTCCTCCTACTCTGGAGAAGGTAAGGACCGGTTATCGCTGAACCGGTGGTTCCGAGAAGTTGATATCGCCATCGCCTCGAGACTTCTTGAGGCTCCACAGGCGAAGGTCAACTTTCTTCTTTCCCGCCTCACCGGGAAGGCCAAGGAGTGGGCCCTTGGTAAACTCGTTGTGGACGAGCACGCATTTCCCACCTTGGATACCATCCAGGACGATCTCCGTCTTGCCTTCGAGCCACCACAAGAGGAGAAACTGGTGCGATCAAGATTCCTGTCGATGCGACAGGGTAAAATGGCGATGCGCGACTACGTACAGATGGCTAGGCATCTGGCGTCGTGTATTATCACGCACCCCATGGACATGTACACACAGGTGAATGTCTTTGTGGATGGTATGCGTGAGGGGCAGACCCGCTTATCGCTGGAGCGCGCCGAGCCTGCCACATTGGAGGAGGCATTCGCCATCGCACTCCGTGAAGACTTTAGGGTCACAAAGGCCTATGCCAAACCCTCGGTCGTCAGCGTTCCCCGGCCTTCTGGCCCAGAACCTATGGAGATCGACGTTATTGAGTCGTCGGGTGACCGGCGACGTGTCTTTCATCATAAAGGTGACGCTCGCACCGGGCGTCCAATGGTTTGCTTTCGTTGTCGCAAGCCAGGACATCGCGCGGCAGAGTGCCGTGCGCCAGCCCCATTATCGGTGCAAGTAGTGGACGCCCATCATGAGGGTGCTGTACCGGCCGCACGTCCAAAAAACGGTCGGGACCAGTAGGTGCAGGGCGCCCTACTGGTTGGAACGGAGGTCCGGGTCCCCCGGTGGCAGCCCAACCTTCCAGTCCTCCTGCGCTACGCGCACGGTTAAATGCCACCACTACGAGTGGTGATTCACGTCTGATTATTGTCAGTTTACATGTCGCCGGCGTCCGGCGACCTCTGCGAGCACTCCTGGACTCAGGAGCAACAAACAATTTCTTTCGTGAATCTTGTTTGTCGATGCTGCCTCCCAGCATTCAGGTCCGTGAGGGACC